GTCAATTGTTTTGGCTGTTGTTGCTTCTCTGTCCAAAGGACTCCCTTTAGCATCTCTTGAAAGCTCAGTCTGGTTTTTACAAATTCCCTTAATTTCTGCATATCTGGAAATGTCCTAATTTCACCATTATATTTGAGGGGCAGTTTTGCTGGGTACATAATTCTTGGTTGGAAAATTTTCTATTTCAGTGTTTTATATATACTATCCCATTGACTTCTCACTTGCATGGTTTCTGCTGAAAAATCAGAGCTTATTCTTACTGCGTGTCCTTTGTAAGTAACTTTTTGTTTTTCCTGTGCTGCTTTCAGGATTCTTTCTTTGTTTTGGTTTTGATGAGTTTGATGACAATATATCTTGGTGATTTTCTTTTTAGGTCTCTCCTGTATGGGGTTCTTCAGACTTCCTGAATAGATATAGTCTCATCTTCCATCATATCAGGGAAGTTCTCCTCAAGCAAATCTTGGACAATTTTCTCAGTGGTTTTGTTTTTCTCTTCCTGTTCTGGAGTTCCAATGACATGTAAGTTATTCCTTTCGATGGTATCCCACATGAACCTTAGGCTTTCTTCATTTTGTTTTGATATGTTTTTGATTTTTTTTCTGATTGATCCCTTTCCAGAGAAGTATTCAGGTATTTGTCTTCGATCTTATTAATTCTGTCTTCCACTGCATCAATTCTACTTCTTTGCCCTTCCAACGTGTTATCTATTTCTGACAATTTAGTATTAATCTTCTGGATTTCTGTCTGTAGATTTAGAATCATTTCTAATTTTTCATTTAGTTTGTAATTTTGTTCATGTATTTTCTTCCAAAATTCTTTAAGGTTTTGTCTGTGTTTTCCTTGGTCTGTGTCTCAATCCTTTGAAGATACCTAAATATAATTCTTTTGAATTCCGTATCGGAGAGATCTAAAAACAAGGAATGGGGGTTGATGATGAGAAAGAAAATGCCTCTTCCTCAGGGATGTGTTCTGGGTCTACATCCTGCTCCCTTGTTTCTACAACTTTATCTTGCTTCTTTGTGTGGACTGTGATGGTCTATTGTCTGTGAGACATCGTGGCATTGTTGTAGTTAGATCTCTGTTAACTGTTTGTGAAAAGCAGCCAAGGGTAAGTCAGGCTCTTCTTAGTGGCTGTTTATCATTGGCCCATTGGTGGAGAAGGAAGTGGTGGCTCTCATTCAGTAAGTGAAACTGCAGGAGGTGTGGGTGTAGTTGTGCCATATGGGGACTGTTGCTGTCTTCCACTCAGACAAATATAAGAATGAAATAACCATCAAAAGTGTAAAAGCACATGGACAAGAAATACACTGTGTAATCACACAAGAACAGTAACCAAAAAAAGAAAAAAGGGAATAATAAGAAGAGAAAAACAAAACCCTACAATGTCTGGGGAGAGAGCAATAAGGAAAAAAAAAAATAGAGAGAGTAGAGTAATGAAGAAAAAAATGGGAAAAACACACACAAAAAAAAACAAGGAATGGGGTTAATGATGAGAAAGAAAAAAAAAACAAACAAACCTGCAACCAGTAACAGGGAAAAGATAAAAGTCTATAATATAGAACCTAGGAGGGGAAGAATAAAGAATAATAGTGAAAAGGACAAAAGTAGTAATAACAATAGTAGTTTTAAAACAGACAGAAACAAACAATCTAAAAAACAGAAAACAGGAAAAAAAAAAAAAAAAAATCAAGGCAGGGCGAGGCAGGGCACCCAGGCTTCGTTTGAGCACGCAGACTGGGATGGAAGTCCTGCTGACCCAGAAAGTGGGTGGGAGTGAGGGATGTCCACACCTCCATTCACCAAGAGGGTGTGGGGTATAAGAAGGGAAATGTCAACCTTTCCAGTCGTCCGGGTCCAGAATGTCCTCGGGGTTCCTGGCAAGTGAAGCCTGTTCTTAAGTCCCTGGAATCTGGGAGAGTGCTGTCACTTTAAATATCCAAAATGGTCAAGCCGCCTGTAAACATTCAAAATGGCTGCACCCTCCAGACAGACAGAAATCTGCAGGTCAGCTCGCCTTCCTCTTCGCTGCTTCCCCTTTTATTCACCAGCCACCAGAGCAGTCTTTCCTGCAGTTCAGCCCTGTAGCAGGGCCAATTTTAGGTTAATTCTTATGTCCTTCCACCACTCGGCAATATCCAAGCTGTCTGTGCCATCAGGATTGCTGCCAGACCGCAGCTCTGTAAGTCTCCTTTTTTAGTGTTTTCATGCAAATTCTTCTGCTAGTTGGAGTTTAGTCCACTTCTATATCCTTCCGTTCAAGGCTCAGGGGTCCAGGATTATCTTCTGTATCTGTGTTAATTTGTTCCCCTTTTCTTTGTTAAAGAGGGTCTGTGCAGTCTTTCTGCCTGTTCCATCATCTTACTGGAACTCTCTTTTTAAAATTTTTAAGTTGAATTCATTAAAACTAATATATTAGTGTTTTTCATAGTGTTGTATTTGAATTTTACATAATGTTGCATTATGCAAATAATATTTGTCCTTTGAGAATATCTTGATATGATGTGTGGTTTGCTGAATTTTTTTAACTCTCACTACTATCAATTTGAGGAGCTCTGGTAGCATAGTGGCTAAAGCACTTCACTGCTAACCAGAAGGCTGGCGGTTCAAACCCCCAGCCACTCCTCGGAAGGAAGGTTGGGCAATCCTACGTCCGTAGTGATACTGCCTCGGAAACCCAAGGAGGGGTCGCTATGAGTCGGGGCCGACTCGACAGCACATAACAACAACAACAACTATCAATTTGTTCTTACCTTCTCCTAAGAAATTTTTTTTATTATATTCATAGGTAAGAGAAAATATTTTATATTTATTAATAATATGTAAGTGAGATGTTTAGGGATATTAGTATTTAGGGATATTTTATGCTTACCTTCTATGTGTAAGTGAAATATTCCTTACATTTAAAATATCCATTAACAACCCTGATAAAATACTTCAAAAATAAGACTTCTACTGATTTAGTAACATGAAGCAAGCAGCTTGCTTAATGGATCAATTTTTAGATGAGTTAAGTGCCAGATCTGTATTATCCACGTGCAGATTATGTGGAGAATCCAGAATGGTGACTGCATTACAGTCATCTTTACATAAAACATTAAACATTGTTCATGCTTGATTAAGAACTTCCTGTGGTACAGAGATGGACTGACACAGTGGACATGACAATGGGCTCAAACATGGCCATGACTCTAAAGATGGTACAGGAATGTTTCATTCTCTTGTACACAGGATCTCTGAGAGTCAAAACTGACTCCATGGCAACTACCAACAACAACAAGGTATGGACAACATTAACATAACAACCAAAAGGCACAGAAAGATGTTTATGAACAAGTCCAGCTCTCTAGGAATTTCTGTGGGGAAACAAACAAACAAACTAGAAGAAAGTATTTCATACATTATTTACTTCATATGCACATACATACTTAAAATACATAACATACCTGTTCCCCATACAAATTCATCAGATCCCTTCTGGAGCATATTTTCCCAATCACTGAGTCAATATGAGTCTAGCTCCATCCTAGTGATGGATGTTTGCATATTCTGTGCCGGTTTAGATACTTTGGTGAGGGAAACAATATTGACATCACCTCAATAGGCCTCTCTGGTCTCCTCAGAATCACCAACTGGATCATCCCTCGTATGTTTCCTTCCATGGACATTGATCGCCTAAGTGTTTCCATAGCTTCATGGTTGGACTTTCCCAAAAGAGATTCTCCATTAACTGCAATCAGTTGGTCATTTACTCGCAGGCGACCATCCTAAAACAAGGGAAAGAGAGACAACATTAAACAGAGAAACGCATGGTGATGACATGTGGGTGTCTCAAGGGTAAGTTCAAATTTTAAAAAGAAAGGAGAAGAAAAAACTTCCATGCTTAGGAATTATTTCTGTTTGAAATCAGAACCAAAAAAGATTCTGGAGCTTATCAAGCAGCCTCAACTTCTAGTAATACTGAATTGTGTGAAATATTAAATCTCTGAATGATTCAGACATTTGTATAATGCCCCTTACCTAAATCTTTGCCACGAAGGCAATTTTTTTTTTTTGCCATTTGCTCTGGTGGAGACTATGTTGCTGACTAAGAGGAAGAGAGTTTGGAAACAAAAGCAGCTGGCTATATCTCTTGAACTGGCTGTGTCCCTTGAACTGAAGCTTGTAGTTTCAGGCATAGAGACAATATGCTTAAATGTAGCATGCTTGACAGTAGTTATGTATGTCTTAGATAAGAGTTGTTAGCTCTATTGAGCAGTGCTGGGGGGAGAAAAAAGTTCATGTAACTTTCCCTAACACAACCTGAAAGTTGTTAGTTTGTAAAAAGAACAGAGAGGAGAGTAGTAAAGAACTGACCTGCCATGTTGTCATCTGACAGAAACTCTTGACAAAGGAGATTTGTACTGGGGGCTCTGACTGATAAATATCTTCAGGAAAGAACTCATACCACAAAGCAGAAGGAACTCGCTACCTCAGATGTGACCAGAACTCTCATCTAAATCACTTCTAGGCACTGATTAGCTTCAGCCAAAAATCTCTCAGAAACTGGAGTCTACGTTGTTGTTTGTTGTTAGGTGCCATCAAGTCAGACCTGACTTACAGCTAACAATCAAGAATACCTGCTCTGTCTACAAAAGAACTGGAGGGTAAGACCAAAGTGGACTTCCTCACCAGGCAGCCTGGGGGGGCACAGGCTTAAAATGTTGACAGTCATTTATGCAAAGGTCAAAAGTTCTTGCTATGAGATACACACGGCAGTAGGATTGTTATGATACTGCTGCCACTAATACACTGAACAGAAACAATTGGAGATGTATATAATAATTTATCTTTCCCGAGAAGTTTTCCATAAACTACTTCCAGTAATTCTCAAAAGATCCAGGAAGTAGAGTTTATGTTTTTATTTACATATTACAGATCAGGAAACTGAGGCAGTTAATGTACAATGGTGCAATATGCCTAAGTCACAAAAAGCAAGGCAGAGGCAAATTGGATTTAGGTTGGGTTTCCTCAATTTTTGCTTTTTGGCCTTTCTACTTTAACTCCCCTTGCTACTTATCTCCAGACTCAAAAATGGGAAAGAAAAATATTAAATAGCTTTTACAGTTAGAAGTATCTGAGATCCATGTTCATTCACATTAACAGAATGAGAAAAAAAAAAAAAAAAAAAAACTTCCTGAGAAATGAGAAAACCAGACATACAGTGAACAACAGAAACCAAGCATACAGCTTTGGGGAGAAATCTCGTGGACAAGTTGATAAACTCTGACTAATGCAGTAGCAGATGGTCAGAGGAAGTTCCTGGGCTGACAGCAGGGAAAAGGGAGAGTGGTGAAAGCGTCCTCATGCCCTTGTGGAGATGCACTGCACATGCTGCCTGTCTGCTGGAGGGGGTGTTAGCTACACAGGATTGCAGAGGCCAAACAAAGAGGCATAGGCCCTCTTGGTGAAGAAATTGAGATGGTACAGCAACAAGCTTAATATAGAAGAGTGTAAAATCAGAGCCGTAAGTGTTTAAGTGGAGTGCTTCAATATAGCTTAGTATCCCCTCCCTTCCTCTTGTTTTCCCACTTCACTTAACCTTTACCCTAATGTGGAGCAAGTCTGGAAATAAGATTTACTGGAAAGGGCAACAGAAAAAAAAAAATCTCTTAATTTCTGTTATCCAATTTTGCATGACGTCACATAAAGAATAAGATTAAGGCTACAAAGAGACGTAAAACAAAAACAGCCTTAGTGGTCTAGTCATGTGATGTAAGATACAACTCAAGGCACTATTCTATTCCATTTTGGCAAATAGTGGACTATTGGGTGGAATCTTGAGCAAGAGGGTACTAAGGTCACTACAAATATTTTTAGGATCAATGGAGAGTGATATGTGTCTTAAAAGGAGGAAGAATAAGAAGAGTTGGCTTAAGATCCTAGCCTTGTTAACAGGAAATGAGATCTAGTGTTCAGATTTGCAGAGGTTTAGGCTTGGCAGGACACTTCAACCTCTATAATATGAAGAGAAAAGATAAAGATTGGAACTTGATGGATACCTCAGAGACAGAGGGAATGAAATCTGAGAGTGATCCCACCTGGTAACCTCCTATGAATCTTTTCTGTGACGCAGGGGTGAAGGTCACCAGAGAAGGGAAGTAGACAAGAGATAAGATATGTGAGAGGAATAATTTTTTGTGTGTATGAAATAATCTCTTTCCAACAGGTATTAAGTACACACTTTTATTTTCAGCTACATTGTAAGTCTCAAGCATGAGGAATTATATTGAAGTACAACATGTTTGCCATATCCAAGTTTTAGACTAAAAGGCAGGCTGGGTCACCCCAGGGCAGTAGGATTTTTTTTTTTAGAAGACATTCATATTCATCACAAGTGTCACCAGAGAGTGGTGGGATGATAAAAATCCACACACTCACATTTTCAGGCTTGGGTAGTCTGTTGCTATTAGTGTGCACTTTTTCTTTATAAGATAAATGATGGGTAATTTCATTAATGGTGATGCCAGTAAGCACCATGTTGATCTAGCATTTAGAATATAATCAGAGAATTTAGAGCTGGAAGGGTCCTTAGAGGTCATCTTGTCCAACCTCTTCTGTTTACAGAGAATAATAAGGCTCAGAGAAATTAAAAGGATGAGAAGCCATTTATCGAACACCTATTACTCAAAAGTGCTTCCACATACATTAGGGCTTGCTCAGCTAGTTAAGGTCAGAGCTGGAACAGAAGAGCCCAAGTCCTGACTTCTACAACACTCACTATTCACTAAGCCATTCTGTCTTCTACATAGATGACAATGACTAATCCTTAAAGAGGTAATGCATCAAGAAAAAAATAATTCTAAAACCAAAGAAGACAATATACTACCAAATGCTTCCTGGAAGACAATCCTGCATCAAGACCAAAGATATATGATAGAAGACTCAGTGACAGATGATTGTGCCATGAGACTGCAGAGCAAAGAATCAGGGTGGAAGAGGAAAAAAAGGGTCTATCTATCTAGCTATACACATTGTTTTTTTTTAGGTGTTGTCACATTGGTTCCAACTCATAGAAACTCTACGTGCAACAGAATGAAACACTGCCCAGTCCTGCCCCATCTTCACAATCTCTATTATGTTGGACCCCATCACTGCAGCAACTGTGTCTACCTATCTCATTGAGAGTCTCTCCCTTTTTCACTAACCTTCTACTTTATCAAGCATGATATCATTCTCCAGGGACTTGTCCCTTCTTACAACATGACCAAAATACATGAGATGAAGTCAGGTCATTCCTTCTAAGGAGCATTCTAGCCATATTTTTTCCAAGACAGATTTGTTCCTTCTTCTGGCAGTCCATGGTGCTCTCAGTATTCTTTGCCAATACCAAAATTCAAATGCATTGTCCAGCTTTCACATGCACATGAGTCTATTGAAAATACTGTGGCTTTGGCTCAGGGGCACCTTAGTCTTCAAAGTGACATCTTGACTCCTCAACACTTTAAAGAGGTCTTTTGCAGCAGATCTGCCCAGTGCAATATGTCACCTGACTTCTTGATTGCTGCTTCCATGGGCATTGATTATGGATCCTGTTGTTGTTACGTTGTTATGTGCCATCGAGTCGGACCCGACTCATAATGACCCCTCCTTGGGTTTCCGAGGCAGTATCACTACAGAAGTAGATTGCCCCATCTTCCTTAGTAAAATGGAATTCCTGACAACTTCAATCTTTTCTCCATTTATCATGATGTTGCTTATCGGTCCATTTGTGACAATTTTCATTTTCTTTATGTGGAAGTGTAGTCCATAGTGATGGCTGTAGTCTTTCAATTTCATCAGTAAGTACTTCAAGTCTTCTTCCCTTTCAGCAAGCAAGGCTGTGTCATCTACATAAACAGGTTGTTAATGATTCTTCCTCCAATCCTGATGACACATTTTTCTTAATACAGCCCAGTTTCTCAGATTATTTGCTCAGCATACAGATTGAATATGTACTGTGAAAGGATACAACCCTAACCTACACCTTACTTGATTTTAAATCATGCATTATCCCCTTATTTTGTTTGAATGACTGACTCTTGGTCTATGTACAGATTTTTCATGAGCACAGTTGAGTGGTCTAGAATTCCCATTCTTTGCAATGTAATCCATAATTTGTTATGATCCACCCAGCTGAATGCCTTTGCATAATTGAGTAAACAGCTGTACATAAACCAAAAATCAAACCCACCTCATCAAGTCGATTCCAACTCACAGTGACCCCCATACCTGCATATCCATCTCTAATATCAATCTAAACTGAAATTGATTCAGTGAAGAACTATCACTCAAGTTTATCAACTATCCCTCAAACTTGTTCCCATCCTTTTCGTTTAGAATAATTATGACTTAGAAATGTAGACTTTCATGATTTTGTTTTTATGTTAATATTATGTTCCAGTAAATACTTAAGCATGAGAATACTAACTCTCATCAACTGATTTTACATAGAAAATTCAGTTATCCAAGGATGTTACTCAGTTATTCTGGGATACCTATTTCACTAAAAAAGGAGCTCTGGGTGATGCTGCAGTTGAAGCATTGGGCTGCTAACTGAAAGGTTGGCAGTTTGAACCTACCAGCTGCTCCACAGGAAAAAGATGGGGCAGTCTGCCTCCAAAAAAGATTTACAACCTTGGACACCCTCTGTGGCCATTCTATTCTCTCACATATGTTTGCTATGAGTCAGAATTAACTCAGTGGCAGTGGGTTTTAGTTATTTCATTAAACTCTTGGGTCACACTTC